GCAGCAGCAGCAGCAGCAGCACTCGGACATCCTCATAATTTTTCAAGTCTTATTTGCTCATTCATATGTTCAGATAGAAACGATATTCAAAACTTAAAATGTACCACATCTTTAATACATTATGTGGTTTATTCACCTTTTCATTCCCATTCGTACTAATTAGACCCTTTCCCACTTCTCCAATTCTCCATACTCCTTCTGCTGCTTCCTCTTCTTCAAACAACGGCGAGCCAGCTGTTGTATGCAGCCAGATTTCAAACAATGCTGTTTAGTTCCTAGCCATTATCACTGAGGCAAGGTGGAGGTGTTGGTAGGAGAAAAAGGAGAAAGAGGAGAAAGGAAAAATACACAGAGGGAGATAAAAAAGATAAGGGCAGTTAAGTGTAAAGTTCAGTATGTCCCCTGACCTGGTTCCTTCTGGCCATTTTTCTCCACATCCCTGTCTCGTACTGCAGATCTGGATATTTTGGTTTTGACTTGCGTACAAATGGTGGTTCACATGGCAACCTAGATGAAAGAGGAACCGCTCCCTCTGTAGATTTAAAGATCTCATTCTAAGGTAACAACAACAAAACAAATCTTATTTCTGGGTGATGATACACTACTGAACTCATACCTATGAATATTATATTCCATTTCTGTCAAAAGATCCTCTTAAATGTTACACACTGGCCCGTTAACACCCTTTAAATAAAAACTAATTGAAAAAACAAACAGAATCAAAGGAAAAAACACTTGTCCCATCTGAAAGACTATTTCTATCAGTGTTATAATCTTAATAATTAATTATTATTAAAGAAAAGAAAAGCCTTAACTCTGTAAAATGTTCACAAAGAGTTGAACAGATAGATGCAGGATAAATCAATGAACTGCTGGGAGTTCAGATTATAGTCTTAACCTCCTTAACTCTCATCTCTGCAGCATAACCTAGCCAAATAAGGTTAAGCTATCAATATCTAGAACATGGGACAAAACATATTTTGTCACTTTACCAGATTTATTTGTCTGCATAGTCACAGATCATACTAGCAGCCATCCTCCGCTCTCCGCCATAAAAATGTGTTTGTTTTTTTGTTGCATTATCAAAATAGGGGCAAGAATTTAAAGCAATTCAGTTTAGCATTAGGTTTTCAACAAAGCTTAAAATATTCTACATCAACTTTCATACATTTATAAAGGCAGCAGTGTCTTTCAGTATCAGCCATTCAACATCTTGCATTTACCTTCTCATGTATTAATCTTTAGCCTACATTTGGGAAATATTCTCTATTAGATCGAGGAAGTTACAAACATCAGTCTGTCTCCTGGTGTCACGTACATTTGGTAGTAAAATGTTGCTGTATGGTCTGTTTATATATACAAGGTAAATCCAGGAGCATCAGTGCTTCCTTCTGAGGGTGCTGGTAGAGCACCAGTGCAAATAACTCAAGCGGAACAAAACCTTGTTCTTCCACACAACTGGTGGTAAAATCCTCCACCCCGTACAACATTTGACCCCTTCCTCTTTCTCTTCATATCCAGATCTAGTCCTTAATTCATTAAATATACTGCAAGCATTTACCCCAAGGCTGGATTACCAACTAGGCAACTGCCTAATTTACAGACCCCCAGGGGCCCCAAGAGTCCCAGATTAATGGAATGTGATTTGGGTGTGGCATCTCTTTTTATTTTCTTTTCTTTTCTTATATGTTTAGGGGCTTTTATTGCCTTTAATTGTGACAGCTGAAGAGTGACAGGAAAGGGGGAGAGAGAGAGGGGATGAAACACAACAAAGGGCCACAGACCGAAGTTGGACGCTGCAGTAAGGACTCAGCCTTCAACTCAGATTTCTTCTCACATTCCCAAAAACATGCACTAGATTGGGCACACTATTTGAACAAAAATTTAAATTCTCATTGGCTTAATGACAAACAAAAAATGGTTGGTTCAACATAAGTGTTAAAATGTGACTTTCTATTGTGAGTGTCTTTCCTCATCATTAGCTGATAATTAGTAAGCCGAACAGAAGAGTGTTTCCAGTGTATCAGAGTGAACCACCAGGTGGAGACAAATTGCCACTAATGGTTCAGATATCGGTCAACTGTTGTGTTGCAGTTTAAAACAAAAAGAAGAGAGTAAAGTCTTTGATAAATCACGTAAAACAAAAATTTCTGCTCACCAAACCACAGTATGCAATGATCACTGTTTAATATTTGTAAGATTCAAGTCTTTTAAACTGATCTTTAACAATGATGCACACTTTATGTATTTGATTATCTAGAGTTATATATACACATCAAGGTTATATGTATATGTGTAGTGAGATAGAAAAAATGTCAGACATTTGGAACAAAATCCTCCTTGCATTATTAAAAACACTTTAAGACATCACATCAGTCGACTGCATGTCCTATATTCAACATCAACCTCATAAATTCAGAAACACTGTATACATTTTGGTTTCCCAGAGGGTATCCTAACTTTAAAATACTGTCAATTACTGTATTAGCAAATACATCAGGTTCACTGTGATCCTTGTCGATTGTTTCATGTCTCCAGCTGGACTATTTCAGATGCTACAGCATCATCCAAAGTTTAGCAATATTAACTATTGTATTATATGTTACATAGACATTAGAATATTCTTAAAGACTAAAGAAACTCTTGGTTTGGTCTTTTCAATTACACATTAGTCCAAAAAAATGAACTTTCCTGACAGCCATGGGAGCAGCAGTCCCGTCTTCAAAAGGTAAACAAATAAAACTCGTGGCATTTCAGTCTTTCTCTGCAAACAAAGTACATA